ACGGGGCCAATTGCTAAATTAGATTAAGCACAAAGCTAGTAAATGCCATGTTTATCCTTTGAAGAGTGCTAACGTCAATGAGCGGTAAAATTATAGCGTTTAACTTATTCTAAATACATCCGCGAGCTGCGTGTCTGTAGTTACAGTCCAACATTTAAATAAAACTGAGCTGAACGAGTATCTAACACAGCTTTCAGCCAAACAAAGTTATCTAGCTCCTCTTTCAAATGTGCAAGGGGTGAAATCTCAAAGTTGTAGACAGTCATGTAGTGGTTGAGAAATGGTTTCCTGTAGCTTTAAAATTAAATAGTGCTGGTTAAAATCTGTCTCATCATTAAATGTTAGCAAGTAGCAACTGTAGAAAATACTACCTGCAGTGTCCTGTCAAAGCATGCTAATGCACACCTGTCAGCCAGACTCAAACAATTATTTTCCATGGCCATGGTTCTTGTAATGGATAACTGGCACTTGATACACACACAAGCCTACAGTGAGTGAGTCACCAAAGGCTTCAGCAAATGGTGGATGTATAGGTGTGAACCAGGTGTTACTTCAGTGAAACACTGTAAGGACTCTCCATTGAGCTCAACAATGTCTACATGTGTAAAGCAAAACCTTAAGAGCATCAGACCAATTCAAGAAGTCCCAAAATGACTGTATGAATGTCTCTATAAGGCCAAGAGAAATCTCTCCCACCTTATCCAAACACCTCTTCCTGCATGTCTTGTCATGAAAAAGAAAATACTGAAAGTAGGAAAAGACAGATGACTGGATGGTGAAATTCAGCTGTGCAGAGAGAAAGACCTGGTTGAATAGATGGGCAGGAAGAAATGCTGTAATAAAAGCAGTAAAAATAACTGGTGGATCAAAAGGAATGACTTTGAGTAGAAGGAAAAGAAAAAGCCCAAAATACGAAGAAAAAATACCGATTGAGGGGAAAAAAGGCCTCCTCTGATCACAGAAGCATTGGTCTGCAGTGCTAAGGATAATAAGCCACAATAATCTAAGGGAGATGTTTGGAGGGAAACAAGCAAGAAGAGCAAGGAAGGAAAGATGGCTCTCTGTAAGTGGCTCACAATGTAGTGCCAGTTAGCTGCTCTCTCGTGGGAATGGTGAATCTGGAGGGAAAAGAAATGAAGGCAGGGAAAGGAAAAGGAGAGGTGTTTAGGGAATTAAGAAGATAAATGTAGAGGAAGGGAGAGTAAACTAGAGGAAGAAGTATATGTTCAAATAATGAAACAAATAAATCACTGCCAAGTAACATGTAATGGATCAAGAATAATTTAGCATATTTCAGCGAGTATAGAGCAATTCACTATGACTGCATTAACTTCTTAACTTCAAAAAGCTACCTGCAAGAAAGAAAACAGGTAGCTTGCACCAAGACTTGAATGGTCTACAGCATGATCAGAAGCAGAGTTGCACAAAGCCAAAACCCTAATTTTGTACCGATGGTTATCAATGACAAAACCTGTATTCAAGGCGTTCAGTGGAACATCTATGTGCTTTGTCACACTTGCTTCCAACTTATCTAGGTTTTATAGCATTAACAGTGCATTAGCATGGATCTTTTATGTGGTGAACCGGTGAAACAACATTTGTCCAGAAAAGACCATAAATTACTCTGCATCCCAAACTCTACAAATAAAATCTGCCACAAAAAGGGATATCTGCCTAAAACATAACTCAAGTATTTTGTAGTCATTGAACCAGAAGAAGATCATATGATGAGCACTAAAACATTATACAGACCATCTTCAATCTCGTCAATCTCATCTAAATCACATAAAAAAAAGCTGTTACTCCTAACTCCAAAGCTAATGTTAACGTACCTGAACATAACTGTCCACACAGGGATCTTCGACTTTTGGTTAAATTCAACATCATATAATATCACGATTTAGGCAGTTTTTGATTGATAATAGCTTCACAATTTAGGTTTGTATCAAATATCAACACATCATCTATCCTTATGAGGGGTGGGAGAAAAAATAGATTCTTAGATGCATCGCGATGCGGACGTGGAAGACTCTGACTCGATTAACAAATGTCAAAAAATCGATTATTTAAATGTTAATTGATAACGTAATGTTGACGGAATACTAAAGGCAGAGCTCGCGGAAGTGCAGCACCCGGACCATCTCTGGCGTGCACAGAGACCAGTGTTCCCTGTAGGTTCCCCTTTACTCGGCACACCACTGCTGAGGAATGAATAACAGTGTAGTGCAGTGTAGGTCACAGTGTGTCTGTTAATAAAAGTCTGTAGTTTCCCCAACTGCTGGAAAAGTGAAGGCTGTTAGCGCTAGCAGCACGTTTTTTGGCTGTTATGTAATGTCAGCTAAATTAGTAACAAAGTAACATTAATTTTAATTAGCTCAGCTGTATGTTATTACTAACTTACCTACTTGTCAAGGGTTGAGAACATCAGGTACAAGCTTAGACTAATCTGGTGTACAGCTCTGTCCAGTATACTGTACATCCTCATAATTATATTTCAGTTTTATTAATTATCCAAAGATCCTGTACAGAAAAAAATTATGCATCAAGATGCATCATAATCGTTTTAGCCCTCTAAATCGTAACCAAATCGAATCGCCCGAATTGCCAAGAGATTCCCGCCCCTAATCCTACACAGAAATGTTTTAGGCTCATATAGCTCACCATAGCTGTCTGCGCAACGGTTTGTTACACTTGCCCCATACACACACACACAACATGTCCTAAAGCATATTTTTATGCTTATCTATTTTTTCTGTGTTTTACAAGCATAACTTTAGTGTGCATTGGGCTACTGCTGCTCTGCTAACTTGCTGCTTACACTAAGCATCCTGTGTAAGGTACAATTTGTGCTAAATATGACAAATTAATCTAATTTTAAAGAAGATATATTTTATTTAATCCCATGAGGGGAAACTCAATGTTTTCACTCTGTTAGTATTTTCACACACAGTTCTGAAAGACACACACATGCACACAAACAGGACCTATAGCAACACACGGAGAGATGTCAGAGTGAGCAGTTAGGGGTTCAGGGGCTTGCTCAAGGCCTCCTTCGGCAGTGCCCAGGAGGTGAACTGGCACCTCTCCAGCTACCAGTCCGCAGTCCGCAACTCTGGTCTGAGCTGGATTTGAACCGGCGACCCTCCGGTTCCCAGCCTAATCATTATGGACTGAGCAACTGCCCCCCCTATTATTATGTAAAATGATGATTAATGGGCCACTGTTCAAACATGTTCACATCTGTTGCAATGTTAGATCATCACACATTTCTAATGTTTGGACCACCACAGATGAGGAGGAAATTTATGTTTATTTTCTGAAAGATTTTTTGTATGTTGGCTAATTTAAGTCACATATTACAAGGTGTTTGTGAAAAAATTCTCCATTCTCCTCTGTTCTCCTTTTCTTTTTTTAAAAATGATCTCAATGTGTCCCTACATCAGAGGAAAACTTTCAAACCTTTCATGACTCTGTAAACACAAGAAATCAATTTTTTTTTTGTCTTTAAATGTAAACCTGTGTCAAATTTTTTCTCATTTGGCGGGTACTGTTAGTCCAATATGTGAGGCTTATGTTAAATTTTGCATTCATCATTTGGTAAAAACAAACAAACACTAAAACAGATGGTGTCAGACAGCCATCGTGGGATTGGCCCAGACACTTCGCCATTTTTTAGTTCTGCTTGGCTGGACGTCCCTTGTCCTTAAGGGATTCTTGTTTTTCTTTTTGTGTTCTGGGATTGTGTGTTTTTAAAAGTCATAATGATGCTTTTTGCTGCCCTGAAAAACCAGAGACATCCTGGCATTTAGATAACAAAACAGTCTGAGGGGGCCCTAGCAGCTCACCTAGTAGAGTGTGTGCACCCGGTACTAAGGCTGAGTCCTTGTTTGGGTTGATAAGAGACAGAAAAAACATTAAAACTTGGCTGGCTGGGGGGGGGGTCGTCCCAGTGACCCAAGCCACATGGCCAAAATGTAGATTATTATGTGACATTTATTTGCCCTCTCTTTCCATGTTTCTATTTCCACTGCTTTTCTCACGGTACATGCTTCCTAACTGAATCTTAATTTCAATTTTTATGCAGATGACACCCAGTTTTATATTCCCATCCTCTCCTTTCCCATGCTTTCTGTAAATAAGCAATAATCTGTATGCATTTTTGCTTCACATTTATAATGTTGTCTTCTTTTTTGCAGGTAGGAACGCAGGTAGGTAGATACCTTTATTTGTCACAATATAACAGGTTATATAGTGAAACTGAGTTTTGTAACTCCCTTCTGCTACATAGCAGACAATATACATTAATACCGAAGCAAAACAAAGATTTAAATTATAATAATTATATAAAATAATAATATATATATATTATAATATACATATATAAAATAATGTGATAATAATAATACAAAAATAATAAATAATTATAAAAAGTGTACTGAGATACTGGCAGACTTTTTTGTTCAAAATAAACTTCCCATACATAAATGGAGACTAACACTAGACAGGTACACTGTGTCCTCTGTGCCACTGCCTGCCACCTTACTATCCATGAAGTACCAATACAGGCACACCCTGAAGTACCTGTTCACCATCTCTGCTTCAGCAGGCTGGTTCTCTCTCTCTCTCTCACACACATGAATAAAAGTGCTCCACACCGTGACCAACTACTTTCAAGATGCCCTTCAGCAACAAACCAATCCTCCAAATTCTTCAGGGGAGCCGCTCAATGGTCACAGTTTTGTAGTTGGTAGCTCCCAGAAGCCAATGTGTGTCTCTATATGAATGTTAAGCATATCGGTGGTGGAAAAAGAGTGTGTGTGCCACTCTCTGAGTGAATTATTCATGGTGTTATAACCCTAATGGTTCCTAGAGGCGGTAGTAATTGTTGTGATACTCACAGATGTTGAAGAAGAAGAAGGAAACAGAAAGACAGAAAGCAAGAAATCAAGCTTCTACTGCAAACAACAACATTCCAAAGTTTTCAGTGTATATAAACTCACGCTGTAAAGGATATCCACCCAGCCCTCCATGGTGATGCACTGGAACACAGTAAGCACTGCAAACAGGATGTTGTCAAAGTTGGTGATACCAAAATTTGGTCCGGTCCAGTACTCTCTGCACTTGGTCCCGTTGGGACACGTCCTGGCTGGGGGCTCCAGACCACAGGGCCAGTCCACTGCTCTCTCACCTGACCGAAAAAGAAAAAAAGAGAGGAAGGGAATGAGTTTTGATATGCATATTTACATTTTCACTTTACATTCACTAGTAAATGTGTGTTGTTTTTTTTAAACTGCTTATGAAGTATCTATCAGACGGATGGATAGAAAGATTGATATATGGATCTCAAGTGAATGCATGATTGAAAAGATTGTTGAAAAGTTTTTATATTCTCTGCCACTTAAGCCACTGGAATGATTCCAGTGGCCCCAAATGCTAACAGGTTTATGTGGGTCAGAGCTGCAGCAGGTACAGCAGAGCAGCCAAAATGTCATTTTCCCCTGCAGTTTATTCCAGCTGCCGCACGCTGCACTGATGTGTCTCCTCACAATTAGTCATCAGTCATGCTGCTAACTCTTCCAAGGGAAACACCCATAGACATCCCTCCCAAGTGCTCTGCCCACCTCAACTGGTTCCTCTCAGTGGAGGCCATTGACCTCTTAACCTTATCATGCAGAGTGAGGCTGCAACTTCATCCTGTCAGTCATTACACAAAGCTTGTGACTACAGGTGAAGGTCGGTACACAATTGACAGATGAATTTAGAGCTTTGCTCAACAAAGCGCCACTGTTGTTGCTGCAAAAGCACCTAGCCAGTAGCCAATATAGTAGCCCTTCTTCTCCACTCAGAACATCTGGAAGTTACTTTTTTGTCAGCTGCCCCTTCTCCTCTACAATTACTTAGCCATGAATGAAATGACTCATCAAAATGTGCATATTGGGGGGGGGGGGGGGGGGAATCATTTAAGCCTAGAATTAAACATTTTTGCCACATTGCAGTGACTGGGGGAAGTGAAAATACAATATTACACCATATTACAAAACCAGGTGTTTCTAGTCTTGGGGTGTCGCGTCTAGCCAAGTCTCTCTCTCACCTCTCCTTTCATCTCTACTATCTGCTATCCAGTGAAAGCATGAAAAAAAAATATTCAGAGAGACAGGCTCCAAATAGTTTGTGTCATTTTGTGTTCTATCACCCTGGGTTTATCTTACAGTTTATCTTAAATTTTTTATGAAACCATTGGAGCATACTTGTAGAACTTAATGGTGCAACACAGCTGCAACTACAGCTGCCAGCACACTGTAGACCTCACTGGCTGAAAGGGCCTGAGTTGGATCATGATATCAGTGATGCTTATTGATTGGTCTTTACGTGCACACCTCTACCCACACAGATACACAGCATCTTAGAGAAAGTGCACTTTAGGTAAGGATGTAAATCAAGACATATCTACATTTAAAGTGTGATACATACAGTTGTACAGTAGTGTTTTTAGTCTAAAGTTTGTTTTTACAAACTTGTCTTAACCCCACAACACTGCATCCTACGACCAACACACAGGATATGATTAACAGTATGTTCAACAAAGAACTATGCTCTGCTGTGAATTTGTAAAAGATGTGTTTTCAGGTTTAATCAGCTTGGTTAAGATGTATACCATCTATGTGCTTAAGAGAGATGATAGTACCAGTGTGTATGGAGGGTGCTGAGAGTTTGTTTAAAGGATGTGCTGGTGCACATGTCAGCAGATGGGGATCAGAAAAAGAATAAATGTGCTGAGTATAACAGATGCCTTGTGCACCCAGGCTTTCATGAGGGATAGTGCCACGATCACAAGTTGTGCCAAGTTTTAACGATGATTTGCAGAGCCAGATTGCACAGCCAACATCCCTCCGGTGTCACTCCAGTAAAATGTGTCCTTTCCTTCCTACTGACAGGTGCTGTGTCAGCCGGACTCAGTGTATAGGAACATCTCAGGTCTCTGTTTCGTTGCGCTAGGTGCAGTTCCTAATTGAAAGGAGAACACTTACACAGTACATTGGGACCAAAAGTTTTATTTAGTCGTTTTTTTAATAATTAATTTTACTGGCATTTCTTATAATTAAAAAGTCTGAAAACTAAAAAAATGAGGTGAAAACGTAAGAAATGCTATTTTGTCAAGGTCTGTCGTGTGCAGGCAGGAACAGGTTTTTGTGACCCAAATGCAGTACAAGCAGGCGGGACAGATTTAGTCTCTTTCAAAATGTATTAACCAAAGGAAAGAAGCCAAACTTACGGTAGAGTCCAACTAATAAAAGAAGGTAATCCATAAACAGAGGTTGTCCGCAGAGCAGCACAAACAAAGTCCAAAACAACGAATAATCTAAGGTGCAAAAGAACAAAGGGTAAATCCAGCAAACGTTGCAGTTAAACAGACAGGCAAGCAAGAAACACCTCAGAGGATGAACATACAACGAATCAGCAAAAGCAAAACAGAAGCAACAAACATTTAAGCACTGACTAACGAGGAGGGCGGGAGCACAAACAGGTGAGACACAGGCAGGCAGGGTGATGAACTGACGGAAACACAGACAGATACCAAACAGGCCCAAACTAACAAAGCCACAGACAAATCCCAACAGAAACATGAATTCCTATAAACAGATATACAGGGCACAACAGACCAAAACAAGATAAGACAAATGAACAGAACAAAGAATACACCCAACAATCATGAAAACAAGCAGACAGATCAAAACCAGATAAAACATGTAAACAGACCAGAATCACAGAACAAACTGACATAAAACAACCAAACAAGGAGAGGTAAATAACACCTGGCAGACAGGTTACAAAACACAAGACAAGAATGAAACAACAGTAGATCCCAAAACACAGAACAGGCAAGAATGGATCTAAACATAACAAACTAAATAACAGATACTGAACAGACCAATAAGCAAAACTCACAGAGACCTAAACTAAACCGGGCCGATCAGACAGGCAGTGTGACAAATTTGTAGTGATTACACATAGGGTTGAAACGATTCATCGATTAAATCGATTCATAAAATGCTTTGACACAAATTCGCGTTTACACTGTGAACACGACGTGATTATGATGGAGCTGTTTGCAAAGTGGGGGTTAGAGAGAGAAAACAGCGAGGGACAAAAAAGAAAGTGTCCAAAGTATAGGATTATTTCAAGCTAAAGAAAACAACAACTCTGTAATGTTACTGTCCGTCCAACGGAAACCAAACTTTTGTCGCCTCTGCAACAGCACAATGGCAGCTGAACAGAAAGCCCCGGTGTTCTGCCAGCGAACCACAGACAAGGTAACAGTAACAGCAACTTTAGCATTTAACTGAAATCATGACTGATTGTTGAGTTGAAGGCTAGCCAATGTAAGCCGCAGTTCTCAGCTGAAAATGTCCACACTGCCTTTTTGGACCGTGAGTTGTAACCTCACAGTCATGAGTTAACTGGGTGTTGGAGAGCTGCACCTTTTAACTCACCTGCAGCTCTCTCTGTAGCTCAGACAATCCCTGCTACCTGCGTGTGCTAATCCATCCTTTCAACCATATTCTACGTCTTTATAATTGCCATCTTTATAATAATAAACAACAGCTGTTTCGTGTGCAGGATCGCTCATTTCCTGTTTCATATTTTTTCTTGATAAAAGTGGTTTGGAAACCAGCGTCGGGTATAGTGTGTGCTGGGGGGCGGCGGCAAGCAAAAGTACTTACATTACATTTAGCTGACGCTTTTATCCAAAGCGACTTACAATTGCTATACATGTCAGAGGTTGCACGCCTCTGGAGCAACTAGGGGTTAACTGTCTTGCTCAGGGACACAATGGTGGATGGGTCACAGTGGGGGATTGAATCCGGGTCTGTCACACCAAAGGCATAGTCTTATCCATTGCGCCATCGCCAGCCCCTACTTCTTAAACGACGCATCAATGAATCGTTGAAATAATCTATAGAAGCTTCGAATACTAAAATCATCGTTAGCTGCAGCCCTAATTACACACTGAAGTTTAACTGTATGCTTTTTCCCTTCTTACTTCTGCTTACATTTATTTATATGCAAAATGATTTAAATGATGTAATGAAAATCAATAACAAAAATAACAACATTTAAATAAATATGTTGGAAGGATGAAGGACATACAATATCTCACAAAAGTGAGCACACCCCTTTCACATTTTCACTTAGGGGTGTACTCACTTTTGTTTCCAGCGGTTTAGACATTAATGGCTGTGTGATGTGTTATTTTGAGGGGACAGCAGATTTACACTGTTATACAAGCTGTACACTCACTACTTTACATTGTAGCAAAGTGTCATTTCTTCTGTGTTGTCACATGAAAAGATATCATCAAATATTTACAACAATGTGAGGGATGTACTCACTTTTGTGAGATACTGTATGTAGCGCATGTATTTCGTAGTGCTGTGGGCTTTTCAGTGTCATGTTGTTTATAGTAAACATATTGCCATAACATTTAATGTGCATATGAACAAATTTAAAGGAAGAGCCATGAATATTTTAGAGGACCATCATGAGTATCAGCACAGACGTTTAATGTAATAAGCAGTGGAGCTGGAAATGGGATGTTGGTAGAGTACTACTAGAAGACTACAGAGGATCTTAAATCATTTTTGGAGTTTGTGGAGTTTGTTTATAATCGTATTAATGTCACAAGGGAAATTATAAGAAGCAGTCCTTCTGTGTGTTTGTCCTACACAAAACTGAATTAACGGCTCATGACAATATGTTTATTATTTATCTAAAGGCAACATCTCAACAGAGAAAATTAAAGAGAGGAAGAAACAATTTTTCACCGGGCAAAGGACAAAGAAGAAAAGGGCTTCAATCAACCTGTGCTCAAGTATAGGGACACCCAGTGAACCATGCAAACACCAGACATCTGACACACACGTTCCTTATGGCTTCATCCAGCATGACCTTTTTATGACTCACTCATTCATACAGGCACACACACACACAGAGAAAAAAACCACACACAGCAGCCGTTGTGTAGAAAGTTGTTACCAGTGCTACTCAGCTTAATCAAACCCTGCTGTGTCTCTGTGACTAAAATAACTCAATAAAACACGTACTGTACATTAGCAGGCTGTCACAACTGCTCACACCACTACAAGCATCCGGACTGGCTGAAACACACATACACACACACAAATACACATATTTTTACAGCTGGCCCAGCCAACATCCCTCAAGTCACGCCTTCACACTCTATCTGACACCAGCAGTGGGGAAATAAAGGCTCCTCGTAATTTTTATCACTGTATTACACAATGGGTAATTTCAGCCAAGCAGTCCGACTGTTTTCTATAATTACTATAATGATGTAGTATAACAACAACACTGTAATGTAATGTTTTTTTGCTGCTATGCTAACTCACACACACAGGGTAGAAGGCTTGTCTTTGTTCCTCTCTCCCTCTTTTTTATCTTCACACATTAAATGACCATACCAATGATTTCGGTAACGGTGCACATGTACAGTACACTTTACTTCTTCTCCAGTGCACCATGCTTCATTCGTCAAACATTTTCAGCTTTCAGCCTTCATACCATCCTGATGAAGGCCAGATGGTAATTACAGCACCATGTAAGCATAACTGTAATTAGTTTGATACTAATAACTGGGAACATTAAGATGCTGGTGCTCTTTTTTATTAATTACCTCTTTAATTTGTACCAAATTACATGGCATTTTCAGGAAACGTAAGACTTTTCAGGGCAGATAAAATAAAGTGTTTGCCAAAGTTATTTATTTGTCACAAGGCAATGAAGTGCAGACAGATAAATCTGCAATTAAACTGCATTATAGTTTTATAATGCAAAGTTTCAAGAGTCAAATTTAAAGAATTGATTGTTTCTTTTTCTTTTTTTTTACAAAAATGAACGGAAAGCAAAGGCTGCCTGAAAGGTAAAATGCATTGTAAAAGTCTATCACATGTATTAGAAAATGGTAAGCAGTAATGTAAAGTAAACATGATTTATATTTAAGGAGACAAAACACTATTATGCTAAACTCCCACTCACACTTCTCATGTAGGAGGAAGATGGAACTAGTGAATTGCGACCTGATTAACACCATTTGAGATTGCATTCGATCAAGAGGCTGAGTGCTTAAGCATCCCTATTGAGTTACAGCAGAAGCTATCAATCAGAACCTGAAGACTGTGAAAAAAACCTTCATTAAAATCAAGATGTGAAGAATGGCTGTCAAGAAATCTGCTGTGCACTTGTTTGTTACGTTGATATAGGCACGCTGCCTGCCAGCACTGTGAATGTGCAGCTACTTATGAATCATTTATGTACGCCTGCATAAATATGCAATGCAATATATGTTCTCATCCATAACAAATACAGGACCACAGCTGAAAGAAAAAAAAGTTTCTCCTGGTGTCAACTCTGCTGATAATCAATGTTGTCATACAAACAAGCGCCACAGCCAAGTTGTTGCTCTCACCAGTGTCTGTCTTGAAGCAGGTGGTGTGGAATTTGCCCATGTAAAACTCCACCCCGATGATGGCAAACATGACAATGGCGAAGAAAAGCAGCAGGCCGATCTGAAGCAGAGGAACCATGGCTTTCATTATGGACTTCAATACCACCTGGAGACCTGAGATGCAGAAAAACATGGAGGAGAATGAAGGGAAAAGAGTGTTAGCAAGACTCGGCCTAGTTCTTGAAATTACCGGCTTCCAAGGAGGTTTATTGACACGTGGGTCCTATTTTTTGTTGTTTTGGCCCTCATTTCAATCAGCTAGTAGTGCATGTCCCTCATTTTATTGAAGAATGTACCAATGTACGAAGGTAAAATGACAACTTTGCAAGACAAAGACTAGTTTAACTACATAAAATCTTCATCTAATTAACTAACGGGCCACAATGCAACTGTGATTAACAAAAACAAATTAAAAAGTAAGAATGAAATGATAAATAACCAGAATCAGAATGCTCTATTATCACTGAACACAGTTCAACGAGATGTACAATCAAATAAAATGTACAATCAAATAAAAAAAAGTTTTTAATAAAGTAAGGGGACAGAAACCTACACTACAAAAATGGTATCAGCAGCGATAAAAGATCACAGTCAATGTATCAATAATACTGCACTCAACTGTGATTATTATTTACCTTGTCATTATAATAAATCATTACTGTATATGTAGGGCAGAGAATTAATTAAATAATAAATCAAAATATCAAAGCTAAGAACAAGAAGAGAAAGATGAGAAATTATGTGGATGTACTCCTGCCTTTTAGTCTCAATGCTCGATTCACGGCTGAGCAACAAATTGGACAAGAACTTTGCTGGAGTTTAGACAAGAGAGTGACTTACTGGGGATTCCTGACACGAGTTTCAGGGGCCTCAGCACTCTCACCGCTCGCAGTGTTCGCAGGTCAAAGTCCGAACCCACCGTGGCCAGGATTCTGTAGATATATACACACACACAAACATCCAGTAAGCATGGTTAAAGTCTCTCCAATGTGACACAATAGTTCACTGTAGCACTGATACACACAATATGGTTGCAACTGCCAATAGTCACAGTCTCCCAGAAAGCATATTCAAATTGCTTGTTCTTCTATCCAAAACCCAATTTATATAAAACAGAGAAAAGCATTTGAGCACCAGTATGAACAATCTTTCTGCCTTCCCCCCACACACAGCCTATAGGTTGATCCCATAGGTGTCTGATTACATCATGTGCTGTTTATATCTGCTTTTACCAACAAGTGGGGGATCGACATGGCGTGCGCATGTGTGCGTATGTGTGTGCATGCGTGTGTGTACTGGCCATTGAGCCACAGCTGGCAGCCCTCATTACAGGCTGTACACAGAGAGAGAGAGAGACTTAAGTGCTTCACTGAAACACAGAAGAAGAAAAAATGCTCTAGGCTAAGGAGAGAGAGAGAGAAGGAGAGAGGAAGAGGTCAACAAGAAAGAGAGGAGGTGGAATATAACAATAGGAATTGCTGTGCAAAGAAATATAAGGAATAAGTGAACTCCAGCCAGGAATGATATTAATTAAATCTGGAATATAAAGGAGAAACATTCCCACACAGGGGGAGACTTTGCTTCACACGGTAAGTGCCGTTTTACAGAGGGATATCACCTGGACACTTGTAGCTTTCAAGGAAGCTGAATTATTTTTACCAACATTTTTCTAAACACAAGACTGAAATAGCTTTTCATTTTGTTTCAGTCCAATCTGCACTGCTGTGTGCTACAGACACACTCTGCAGGGCAAGGCCATTACACACAAACAGAGTCACTCAATATCAGATTTTTGTAAGGTCAGTTTCTAGTCTATGTAGCTATCTTACTTGCAAATCTGACCAACGTGGTGGAGACAGAATGATGGATTGAGAGAAGTCTGTCAACAGATGATAAAAGGGAAACAAGCTGCAGTTTTCCCTTGACTATTTAATTCACTGTAAAAAATAATGGAGGATTCATGATGTGTTTTTTTTAAAACACAGATGAATATAAATGATCTTATTTATAACATCCCAAATGGGTATGGTTTTTAAAGCTCTCAGTTAAGTACTGTCTGGAGGGCAAAAGCAGGCGAAACATCCTCAAGGGTACAATAGCTTTTATATAGAAGGTAGCACACACTCAGGACTGATACAAATTCAGTACACACACACACACACACACACACACACACAGAAAGACAACATTGAAAACAAGAATGGTCCCTGGTTACCAGTTGGCATGGTAACTGATAAAGCACATCTGTGCTTTATGGGAATTAGCTTTACGGGTGAAATCATTCTGCTGGGATGAAAGTGCCTGTTTTGTAATATAGAATACATTGTTTCATAAATATTTCATGTAAAGGTTTTGGAGTTGATCAAATTCTCCGACAATGATGGATTTCCAATCTCTCCTTTTTTATAATTTTGTCAGTACTTTTCCACATGCAGATTTGTGATTTATTTATCACACTGGGCCTGTATTTATCAAGCTTCTCAGAATCACTCATGAGAACACTGCTAAGAATTGACTCAAGAGTAAAAGAATTCTTGGCTCTGCGCTTAAAAGCTAGTTATCAAGCATCTCAGTCCTAATTTAAGTTAAGTGGAGGATTAAATCTTAAGTGTCAGTCTTAGAACTGATTCACGACACTGTGCTGTGCCGCAAACAAGAGTTTCTATGACGATGTAGGCAAGGACCAATCACTGAATAGAATTCCTTATTTAAGAATATTCTCAGATAAATTCACATTGAATAGTAAAACTCCTTAGAGGAGTTTACATTAAACAGACATTTGAGAAGAGAATACATTAGGATATACACATTGTATTGAATTGTATTTGTGTTTGCTAGATTACGCAGGGTGTTGTTGGTCGATAAAATGTGTCACAATGTGTGGAGCTGTAAATGCCATAATTGTTTCCATGACAATTTGACTTATTGATGGCTGTGATGGCCCTAAAATATCAGCATTGCTGCATTTGTCCTGTGGCAAAGAAACGAAGCGTCATCACAACCTTCAATTCAGCTGAAAGCGCATTGCTGCGTAAAGTCTGTGGTGAGATGACGTCCCTCACCAACTCGCTGACAAAGATGAAGCCTGCTCTGTCCAAACAATATTGTATAAACTGCGTGTCATAAAATAATTCAGAAATGTTCTTCCTGTCCTGAAGTATTTGCGCATGTCTCTGTCTCCACAGCGCCATCACAAGCCCCTAATGGCAACTCCTAACCACTTGAGAGACCTCTCGAGCTGTCTTAAATAACTGGGAGAGTGAGATGGATTCTTTGCTTTAAGATGTTTGATAACTTTCTTTTATTCATAAGTTTGAAAGTAGGAGTAAATTTCATGAATTCTCAGCACTTAAGACTAAAATGGCACTTTCAGAAGCTTGATAAATACCGGCCCTGGTTTACAAGTTTCAGCTCCACATAGGAAACCTCGAGATCAGAGCTTAGGGATGACTTAAAGGTGACATATCGATGAAGACTGCAAATCAGTGTATAGAAGCCCTCTTAATACCCTCATGTCAGCATGCACAAGTATACGTGCATTCACACTTACAGAAACTTTACTGTAAAGAATTAAATAAACCAGAACAGACTCAGTCTTTCGTTGTCTCTCTCCATGGTGCTGAACATCTAAACCCACTCTATCTGTGTCTCCCCACTGTACTGTTCTCAGTTCAGGGCTGTCCACAGACTGAATCCATAAACCTGTTCCAAATCAAAGGCTCCCCCAGAATCAGCTGAGAAATAAAGCCTTCTTTTGCCTAAATTTTGAGGGCACATCTTGTGTCTTTTGCATCCCTCATGATCCCACAATCCACTGTGCCCCATCAGTTGTTAAATAGAGCATTCAGGTGACCCTTATTACCATTGATTTTGCCAGGATGCCAGGGATGTTGTTGGACTGTATGGGCGTTTCAATTAGAAGCAAATAAAATCAATGATGACCACTGAAACAACACCTCAAAAAACAACAAAACAAGCTCTGCATTGCACTCTGTGTGTCCAGCAGATAGATTGAGAGAGAGATAGAAGAGTTCAGTCAGGATCAGTTGTTTAACATTACAGTGTAGTGTAGGTAACACACAGATGCATATTGCGCTGCCACTTAGTAATTAGTGAAAAACTCACCCACTGCTGTGTTCCACAAAATGAGCTGAACTAAACAGTTTGCAGCTCATTACTGGTTGAAATTCATGCTCACTTATAAGTTTCCTTTCTTTCTATAACTTGGAAAAAGCTCTGCGGAAGTTTCGTGGTAACAAATCCTTTAGATGTACATGTTGTGTACGTTCTTGATGTTCACCTGTAACTGCACTTTACCTCACAGAAGAGGAGAGGTCACCCCCTGTAAACACTAATTAGACCAAACAGACTCAAACGGGCTTAAAAAACTCATGCCTGAACCAGGAAATAAAGATAATAAAATTTAGGGAAAGAAGCATCATCGAAGAAATTTATGGCAATTGGTGAATTTTCATGAGAGAGGATGCCAAGATGAGAATTAACACCTATTAAGCTACAAATCCACCATTTTAATTATTATCACCCTCCCAAACACCCAGAACACCAATGCAACCACCCGACAACCTAATAACTAACAGCAACTGAGAAACATCTAACGATTTATAGCTGCTTTACAAAATCTAAATATTTCAGAATTCCTACTGAGTACTGATTGAAATTGGTCTTTGTTTATCTGTATCCAATTAAAATAAATTAAAGTATAATCATTTTGTTGGTTAAAAAAATTTCAGTTGACATAGTTGGATTTCAAATGATTCCCCAGTTTCCACATTGTACTATAAAACTTTGAAATTTGTCAAACCAGTGTTTAAAAAATATCGGTGTTCTGGGTGTTATGTAAAAATATTTTATTCACAGTACATAAGGGCACTGTGACCAGAGGAAACAGAATGAAAAGACGATATAAAAACATGAATCATCCCCCTGTGCTGTTTTTATATGCCGCACAATCAATAACTCACTTTCTTCTGCTAAGTGTCTATATGTGTGCACATTTGCCTGTGAAGGGATGATTTGATGACCGTGTAGACAGACAGTCGGGCAGGGAGCAGGCCGAAGAAGAAGCTATGAGTTTTAATATCCCTTTATCATCACCACAATATATCCATGTGGGCGCCAGACACTGGCACAGGAAATATGGAGGGTGATGCTATCGTCTGTCACACACATACACACACACACACACACACACACACACACACACACACACAGAGCCACATACCACTTTCCTCCGTACTGTCGCACACATGTACAACAGACCACTCAAATAAAAACAAAAACACAGACAAATACATTAACAAAGACACACACATGATTTCCAAAAAGGTGTACAAATTCACACATATACAATAAAGTACCCATTTCCTGTGTGGTTCTTATTTATCTTAATATTTATCCAGATCCTATGATTCAGCCTTTACCGCTGGAATATCAATAGAACCTGTACTAATTTTACCTTGAAGAAACAATGGAGAGATAAGTGATCCATGCTCAAAATATGTAGGAACAAACACACCTTTCGCTTCATTTGGTTTCATTTCTGTTCTTCACGCAAAAAAAATGTGACTTGTGTGATTGATACTCATGTTCACTCATGGACAGAAGTGAATTACACTTTTGTCCTCGCGGTTCAATGGATGAGCTTTCTTACACATGAATGGTGGTGTAAAATGGACACAATGGGTGACATGCTCACCAAGGAGAATATGAGAAATAATGTTTGAACAAAGCTCTACTCATTAAATATGAGACCTTACATTCCTATGTCAGAAATTCAAGCTCCGAGAATCAATATTTTTTACCAACTGAGCTGTTTTGTCTCTTTTAGCTCATTGTTTTGGTTTCACTGTTAATTTCATTTTGGTTCATTCTCATTGTTTCACTTTAACCTTGTCTCCAACAGCAGACAAGA